TCTTTTGTCCAAATTTGATCGACTGTGAAAAACAAGCAGTTCTGGTAACAAGTGTTGTAAGAACAAGAATGCGAGACATGGAACAGAAGCTCAACACCTCCGAGCAACCTCAGAACAACAATGCCGATTCCGATCAAGCCCTGAGCCAAGGAGACTGACTGATGGTCGCTCGAGACAAGCTTTCTTTTCTCTTACATTTGGGTACAAGGTGTTCGATAAATTGCCTGAACCGCTTTTCTAATGGTTTCATTTGAGGCCTTTTTTTTTTTAAGTTGAATTTTTGGCATTGTTTGATCAAACACTTCGACATGAGTTTTTATCTTATATAGTTTTGTACGAGTGACTTTAACAATAGTTGAGTCTAAGAGCATCCACAATGCTTTAAGTTCAATCATAAAAAAATTGTATGACACATAAGAAATAGACCTAGTCTACAAAAATGTATTCTCCAATGCAAACAAAACTAAACTGTGTCATGCTGATGTGGCAGCCAGAAAAAGAGACCCGGTCTACCTTTAAGTCTATTTTAGACCGAAGTAGAGACCTAGTCTCTTTGCATTGGAGTAAGTTTTATTAAATTTACATACTTTTATCCATGTCATCAAAGACTTGGGTTTATATACATGCCACATAAACAAGACTAGACCCAATGCATTGTAGATGCTCTAAGGATTATTGATATGTTCTTTATTCGTCGTTTTTGCCATATTAATATTCCCTTCTCGACGCATATAGATATGTCATCCATGTCTAACGTGCCATGTATGGTCTCTTGAACAAGTTTATCGCGTAATTATGTGTGGTTAGAATGATCTTATTCTTCATTCTGACAGTTCTTCTGTTACGTTGTCTAATGGTTAGACAATCACACTCTTTCATCATAAGTACTCAATTTTATGTTGCGTTGTCTAATGATTAGACAATATCATATTCTTTCAGTATATGTATATACTTTCACACTCAGTGTCATACTTTAAAATATAATGTGAACAAAAGTATGATGTTTCATAAAATAAGTATATATTTTTTCGCAAGAAAGTATGACTATCTAACAGTTAGCGTAGCATTTGTGGTTATTCAATTGAATACTTGCATTTTTCAGTCAAATATAAACTATCCCAACATTTTTTTTTTTGCAATTTTGAGATTTAACTCTAGTTCTATTTGCGATGAAGCGATCACACCGGAACACATTCTTGTAATTGCTCTTAAAAGAAAAAGGAAGTGTGTGTTTCTTTTTATCTTCTTCTTTTCTTCTTGAAACAGAAATAGTTTAAAATTAGTACAAACAACCATTCACCAAAGTAAATGATGAGGAAGCTGAACTGGTCAGGGAGAGTATAGGACATGCAATGAGGATAAAAGTGGAAAGACAGAAAATAATTCTATGAACAGAAGCAACAGCATAAGCCTCAAAGATAGATACTTGCTCAATAAATAAGAGTGAGTTTACGCACAAAAAATCTACACCGATCGTCTCTATATTCAACAACTACTCGTTCAAAATTAACTTGAGCCTTTGAGCTCCAACAGGCAAACGCACTCGATGTGAGGCGTGTGTGGGAACATATCAACCGGCTGAACGCTTTTCAGCTCATAACACCCTTCGATATTCTTCTCAGGCTGCATACAATAATTGGAACCATACTCTGAGTCTCGATCAAACTGATTATACAAACTTTTTTGTTTCTGAACTTTTCTAATCAGCTAAAAAACGAATACTCACCACACCGTGACAGAGATAATCGAGGTCACGAGCACATGTAGCAGGATTACACGATACGTATACAATGTGTTGCGCCTTTAGTTTCAGCAAGAACTTGATTAATTTTATGTGCATGCCCGGACGATTAGGATCTGCATAGTATCACAATAAATCGTTGTTCAGAACAAAGAGATCGATTTTATAGCCATTGAGTCATTACTTGTGATGGATTTCCTTAACTAAGATATGGTTTCTAAAATATTTTCAATAAGTTGCAACCAGAAGAATAATTATCTTATTGTTAAAATTATTCCAATATTCAGCTCAGAAAATAAAAGGAAAAATCACACCTTATTGTAAACTTTTCAAATTAAGGTATGAAATTTTATGGGACAGTGAGTGCCGTCTATGAATAATGACTACTAATAGGAAAATGAATCTAGACAATCAACCTGTTATAACAAGATCAGGCTTGGGAAAATATTCTCCGAAATTCTCTCCAATTTTGTTAAGATCCCCTTGGACGAACGTAGCATTAGATATGCCATTAAGGTTTGCATTACGTCGTGCATCTGAAATGGCATGGTTGACTATCTCGAAGCCATACACATGTTTCACCCTAAGAATGTGAAAGGAAACTTTGAATTAGCAATGATGAACCCTGGGATTCAAATAAAAGAGCAGCCTGACGAAAAATAAAAAATATTACCTTTTGGCAAGTGAGAGACCGATGGTCCCCGTCCCACAAAAGAGATCAAGAACTATTTCTGACTCGTCTCCTTTAAGACAAGAGCAATCCTCGATTAATTTGTACAGAACTTCGGCCTGCATGGTTACAACAACTATTGACAGATGACATCAATTAAATTTTTGAAAAACAAAAAAAGAAGGGAGACAGAAAAGAAATCGAAGTATAGGGTGCGACGAGATATAATTCCATGTTAATCATTTTTTTACCACTACGGAAATACGATGAAGAAATTCGAGAGGAAGGATAATGAACTTTTTTTGAGAGTGTCGATAGATATAAGATAAAATTGTGTTGAATAAAATGACGTGATATAAGAATAGTAAAATAATAATAAAATGATATGAATATAGTTATAATTACGTGCTTGACTAAACAGTTAAGTTTGTAAGGAATGTGTAGTAATATAAATTGTGTACAGAGAAGAATAATGAGAGAGTGAGATGGGTGAATGCTATTTTCTAAAAACTAAGGAAAAAACATATCTTCAGTGGAAGAACACAAAATCTCTTCGCATCGCAGCTGTAGGCATCTTAATAAAAAAACCTGCAGAAGTAAATATAAGCAAGAGTATATCGTTGTTTATCTTTCGTTTGCTGAAATACCTGCTGTGTATTTGTCTGGAAGAAAGAGTTGGCCGATATTTGAAATTTCAAACCCCTAAGGCACTCCGTAATAGTTGGTTTACCAAATAGTGTGTACTCGTGCTCCCCAACGGACGTGTTGCCCACAGAAGTATTTACATTGTTCATGATGCTTACCTATATTAGAAAAAAAAACTTTCCATCAAATATGTCACAAACAAGAGGCCAACTACCAAGGATCCTTTGACTAAAACACATGTTTCGGTGGCTTCTAATTATAAAATGACCAATAGGTGAAAACCAACTAATAAGAAAAATAGATATTATATTATTATTCAATAAAGTCGCTCATTTTTAGCACAAACTCACGACATCAGGAAAAGTTGCGATTTTCTCTACAATGGGCTTCAGCATTTCTGGCTTGTATGAAGAAGTCACAAAATTAACCATAAGCTCAGGCTGGCCAGTCTCAACATTCCTAGAACAAATACATACACAAAGATAGAGCATCAATTTAGGCCCGTCAACTTTATTTCTAGACAAGAAAAGGCGATTTTGAGGTTGACTGGATACAAAAAGCGGCAAAACTCCAAGAAAATCTATCGTCTACTCCTAATTAAGTACTGTCGAAGAAATGAATGAAAGACGAGACTACCTGCCCGTTCTGAGCATCAGATGCTTCAAGAACCCACGATGGGAGTGCAAATCATATGGAGACAGCCCGAGTTCTGGGTTCCTCCAAAAGTCTTGAAAAGCAGCAAGAACCTACAAACCAGAGGAACTTCTTAATGGGGAGAAGTTCATGTTTATTAATGTCAACCAAATAGCTCAAAATAACCAAAGTCTGTATGGCACAAGCAGGAATTCGTTTCTTGTCATGACTAAGCTTACATCCAGAGGAATCTACACTGAAATTATATGCATCTGGCATCTATATCTCAACATAGTTTTGAGGTTTCGAATTGCTAATGCCCGAAAGAGAAAATAGATCTCCCTTTTGAGCATAAACCTATGTGGCATTTATGCAAGAGATGTTACATAAAATAAAAAAACAGGAATTTGAATCAACATACCTTGTTTGCTGAATTACTCTGTAACAAGCACTTATTCACATTCAGAACCTTGTCGAAAAACCCGGGAGCATGCAATCCCAAAGCATATTTGTTGGTTTCGTCACACTCTTGTTGCAGAAGTTCTTCCGGCACCCAACTTTTGGTCCCGAACGAGAACTCCATCTGAGTAAACAGAGAAAATAACAGAAATTTATGTATCCTTCCTAGTTAATTTTTCTCATTTTTCTCAATTCCTTCCCTTTCTCATGAGTGTCTCACTCCAACCAACCTCATATAACTCAGAAAATTGATTACCGAAGAGAGACAATGGGCAACAACAACAATTATAAATCATAAAAATGGAAAAGTGAAATAACTATACCCAAAAATTAGAAAAAATGAAATAAAATCAGAACATCTATAAATCTCGCATGTGCTGAAACAAAAAAAAACCTGAAGATGCTGCAAAAAATGCAACTTCTCCCCTGTACCTTGTTCCGGTAATGAAACTGGGTATCACAAGGAACAATAGGCTTCATAATGCCATTGCATTCGAGCTCTCTGTACGAAAACTTTCCGACACGTACAATCAGCTCCTTCACCTGCTGCTCCTTTGCCCTAACCTGAGCTTCGTACAATAGATTCTGTGTCTTACAGCCGCCACAGTGCGAAGCGAATTCACAAGGTGCCTCCACGTAGTCCCAATGTGGGCTTATTGTTTTCACTTTCTTCACCTGCCTCCAAATACAATACACAGTAAATGACGACAAGCGAAACCTAATTCAATCTAACAACTCAAAAACACTACAAACACGCAAATTCAGAAATTGTTACCTCCGAGCACTATACCACACACAAACATATCGAAAATAGAGAACAGCACTACTGTTCGCATTACAATGAAAGGGGGAACAATTGAGCAGAAAAATAACAGGTAAAACCTCTGCGTAGTTATCCTTCTTCCGAGTCACGCGACCGACGAACCTTTCTCCGGGCAATGCGCGGTCGCACATGACGACGTAGCCGGTGTCCGCGACCTTGCACAAGCCCTTGCCCTTGAAAGCTAAGCTCTCGCAGACGAGTTCCACAATTTGGCCTCGCTTGGGGTAATAGGACGCCGTTTTATTGTCCGGGCCCGCGCGAGGTTTGGGGGCTGCGGCTGCGGTTGGGAGATCTTCCGCATCTGGGATGGGTGAGGAGGCCGCGAGCGTCGAAAGCTGACGAGCGGCTCTCCGGAGGTTCCTCGGCCGCAGGCGAGGATGGAGAAGGCGTATGCTGCCGCCGGTTGCCGCCGTCGCCGCCATAATTGGGGTTGAAACAACGAATGCTCAGTGTATCTTTTTAATTTTATTTAAATTATATATATGTCGAGTTTTCAGGATTTCTTTTTTTAACAATGATACATATATATTGCATCTTTTAAGGGGTAATTTATGTATTTATTAATAAAAAAATAGTAAGTGGACAAAAAACAAAAAGAAAAAAGGGGTGTGGACCAAAATCAAAAACACGTATTCACTAAATACGTTTTCTTTACAATTTCACTGTAAAACGTATTCAAGGAATACGTTTTTCACATTTTCTTTTACAAAAGAAAACGTATTCACGAAATACGTTTTACAATTAAAAATTGCAGAAAACGTATTCACTGAATACGTGCTTTTCATTTCTTTCCACTCCCACTTTTTCCTATATTTTTTTGTCTGCAAGTTAAGTTTTGATTTTTTTTGGTAAAAAAATCATCTTTTAAGAGAACAACCTAAATTATATACTGTGTAGATTATTCATTTATTGTTTTTTTTTTTAAATAACCTTCCACATTAATGTAAACTCGTCTAACTAATTTTGGTACATCACATCAACTAGCTTAAAGGTCTTGTTTGACCACCACTTGGTGGTTTTATTGAACAATTTCATCCAAAATATGAACAGATGTGTTAATGCTTGTGTCTTCTCATCAACGTCTGTATAAACATTATAATTGTTCTCCGAAGCCAAATGCAGAATTTGAGTAGTAACATCTCTACCCTCGAAACTATATCTCTGCAATTGATTGTTATAGTTATACACGTGACGCCGAGTAGCATTGTCTTTTGGGATCTTTTCCTGGATCGCAGCCAAAATTAATGTCAACTTTGCTTGGGCAACAGCCATAACACGGACAATTACACGCTTTAGTCTTTGAACGTCTGACAGTAGCTCGGTCTAAATCTCCTAAAACTGTCTCTGTAATATTCACCTTGTGAACACCTCAACACATTCATTCTTCCTTATTTTTTTGTGTGAATAAATAACCAATTCAAAACCAATATAAGTGTCATTTGTCTTCCCATGTAATAGCTTCTTTTTCACTACCGAATACTTCATTCGTAATGAAAGCGGAACTGTAATCGAAACCGGCTCCTCCAAAATCTTTGAATGACACCTGCAATATATTACAATGTTAATAATATTACAAGACAATCAATTTTAATTTATAGCATACAAAATTTTAATTCTAACATAATATAATAAATTATAATTTATAAGATAATCAATTCCAATTTATAACTTAATAATTTGTAATTCTAACATAATAATAATAAATTTTAATTTATAACATAAAAATTTGTAAGTTGTAATATAATAATATTAAAATCTAATTTATAATATAATCAATTTTAATTTATAACATAAAAATTTCTAAATTCTAACATAATAATAATAAATTATTAATTTATAAGATAATCAGTTCTAACTTATAATATAATAACTTCTACTAACATAATTTATTTAACAAATAAAAATAAACTAATACAAAAAGAAGGTCGTCCGGAGAAACCGACTGGACCTTTGCTGGCCGGCCGGCGATTGCTGCCGTGCACGGTCGTGGTCGGCCGACGATTCCAGTAGTTCATGGTCATGGTTGGCTCTAAATTGCTGCCGCAAATGGCTATGGCCGGCCGCCGCTGCTTGCGACTGCAATCGCAAGTCGGCTGACGAAAAATCGTACATCGTCGTCAGACTTTTTTTGTCGGAAATCACTTATTTCTAGAAAAAATTACGATTTTTTGAGTATTTTGGAAAAACTACAGGGACTAATGGTCCAAGCGAGACGGTAGATAGTAATAGAGGACGGTGAATTATTTTTTCATTTATTGATTTACGGACTTCCCCTAGAGTCACGATGTGCAAGATGAATACTGACATTGGGCCCAACTAAGATGACAAAATCTGAAGGCCGAATGACTATGAATTGAGCTGAAAATTCTTGAGATGAGGAAAAAAATTGTTTTTTGAATTGACAGGCCTAGCTATTTGAGTCCATAATTATGGGCTGAGAACCTTTAGTCTTATGATTTTTTACCCATACAATAGTTGTGCCTTGGACATTCATTGATGTATTTTGACATTGGGAAGGGGGCTGCATTAATGGACCACTGTGGTCCGGTGGGCCGGATGAAAACCCGGCCCAAATCAAGCCTCACTCTAAATGAGTAAAAGCTCATTTTCCTTTTTTTTTTTTTTTT